CGCGGACCCTCGGTTCTAAGTCAGGGGGTCGGGCAGAGGCGTTTGGAGACACTTGGAAACAGTGTCCGAGTACCTGGGTTTTCCGGAGGGACCCTCTCCCAGGTACGGTCCCCTGGTGCCTCCTGCCCCCTGATGGTCTGTCTGCATAACTCTGAAGTTTAAGAAGGCGCCAGAAACTTGGGAAACAAACCCGAGAAGCGCATTGTATTATCACTAACACCAGCGGGTTTTCCTTCCGACCTGGTAGGAAAATGGAGCCACGCGGCAGGTGTGTTCTGGAAGGCGAGTCGCCGCTTGATGAGCGTCCCACCTGTTGCTGGTCTTGGCGCGGAGTCCGATCCAGTCGGGCTGCTTGTTAACGGCGCGCCCGATCGATACCCCCCCGTTCGTTTTAAGTACTGAAGGGAGTGCGGGTTAGACCCGTGCCTCACGGGGCTGTGACACAGCGGCAGCAATCAGAAGCGGTTATAGGTTCTGCCCCGGGATGGGGGTGGGAGCAGAACCCACAGTTGAAGTCAAACTTTTCTCCACTTTCCAAGCTCTCATCACATAGAAATGCCTTTGAATTCCCAAATTGAGGAAAGCATTCAGATAACCGGTTTGACAGATAACTCAATTGGCAGGAAAGCTGAATTGGAAGGTGTGTTTAAATGCCTTTTTTTTTAAAATAAAGTTTTGCATTTCCTAAAAAGGGGTCCTTTGCAGGATTGTTATGCAGCTCGTGTATTGTAATACTCTCCTTTGCGTGGTTCTTTACCGCGGGCGATGACATTCTCATTTATTGAGCACCCACAGCCTTTGCGCTGTAGTTACCCACACTTAATGAGGGGCCACTGGCAAGTATTTAGAGTAGGAGGTTTTAAACTCTGGCCCCCAGGAGTGAGGAGGTGGGTAACCTTGGTAAAGCTGGCCAGGTAGGTGTTCTCTGTTGGGGGTAGTCTAAGTTTCAGCCTATAGTAGTTGGCTTTTCTATATTAAAAACAAACAGATATTCGGACTTTTGTATGAAATGTCCTGACTTTAAAATAGTAGCATTATGTGTGTGTGTGTGTGTGTGTGTGTGTATCCTATATAATAAAAGGCTAATATGCAAATCAACCAAACAGCAGAACCACCTGTCGCTATGATGTGCACTGACCACCAGGGGGCAGATGATCAATGCAGGAGCTTCCCCCTGGTGGTCAGTGCACTTCCACAGGGGGAGCACTGCTCAGCCAGAAGCTGGGCTGGTGAGCGCAGTGGAGGTGGCGGGAGCCTAAGCCATCAGTTGGACATCTCCTGAGGGCTCCT